ACTGTGATTTAGAAATAAAAGAGGATGAAGCTTTGTATTGATGAGTTTTAGACACCCGCCTATTGGCGCTCATTGTGTTTGTGAATAAGTTTTAATCTTGACATCAGGTTTCGAGAACACGCTGATGGAACAAATCCCATACCAGCTGATTTACGTTCAACTTGCTATAAAGCCGTGTTGCAAGACGGTAATGAAAAAATCTTCAATGAAATGTTGCAACTTTACCGTTCCACAGACCTCCACGAAGAACAGGACCGCATCTCGCGTGCATTGGGTTGCATTGGAAATGTAGATTTATTGCGTAAAGTTATTGATTTTGCGATGTCGGTAAGTCAAAAAATAAAAAAAATAAAAAAAATACGAGAATTTTGAATTGATACAAAAATTGTAATATTGCTATCAATTTTAGGGAGAAGTACGCGCACAAGACTCAGTTTTTGTTATTGTTGCTGTCGCTGTTAACCCCAAAGGACGCGATATGGCTTGGGAATTCTTCAAAGACAATAACCAAAAGCTATTAGAGCAATATCAAGTAAGATCAAGCACTTCGCGTAGAATTACTCACAAATACATTTTTCTAATCTAATTGTCTTCTACGATTTTACTACCTTATAGGGAAGTTTTCTGCTTACACGTCTTATAAAATATTTGATTGAAAATTTTGCATCGGAGGAGCGAGCAGTTGAAGTAGAAGACTACTTTAAGAAGAATCAGTTCCCTGGAACTGAGCGCACTGTATCTCAAGCCGTGGAGACAATTCGTCTTAATGCTAATTGGTTAAAACGAGATCTTGATTCGTTGACGTCCTACTTAAAACAGCAATAAAAGAATAGGAACTCAATTTACATAACAACTTTGCCCAGACATAATAAATAGAAAATAATATGTATGAAATTATGAAGGAAAAATGTATTAGGAGGATTTCACAGCTGCATTAGCAGCATAAAAAGCCAAAGCTCATTACAATCCCATTTAATCGTTTGACACTTTGATTGGCTACGCTGCTTGCCATGCTTAATTTACTATGAAGTTAATGTTAACAACGTAAGATGTACACAACGTTTTCGAAGACAGTTTTGCGGTAATTATATCGAAATATTTATGTGTACTACTAAAAGACTCAAATATTCTTATGCCTCTAATAATCGAGAATCATGAAATAGAAAACTTCTATCATCACAAAAAATTGATATTGCCTCCAAAAAAAAAAGGTAAAATATCCCTCAGCATCTGGCTTGATATCCTTAATTGTATTGAACACAGCGCTTATAGTTTGTTTTAAGTAATTTGATTTTGTTATCCAGTGCATGACTAGTTTAGATAAGGTCAACATATTCAAATACTGCAAACACATTTTAACAAATTCTGCAATTCAATTGCGTCCACCGGATCTTTTGTAAAGCCTTTAATGAATTCGCATTTTCTAGATATAAAATTGAAATATTGATATGTCTCTATTTTGTAGATTACAAAAAAAGAAATAAATAAAAAAAATTTACTATTACAATAATTTTTGTCTTGCTTGTTATTTTGGTTCCAATACCGCAAGGTCCGTCCACCTATGTATGCATATCAAACATGTCCCTAGAAAGTGTACTCAACATTTTAATTTATGACACNAATAGAAAACTTCTATCATCACAAAAAATTGATATTGCCTCCAAAAAAAAGGTAAAATATCCCTCAGCATCTGGCTTGATATCCTTAATTGTATTGAACGCAGCGCTTATAGTTTGTTTTAAGTAATTTGATTTTGTTATCCAGTGCATGACTAGTTTAGATTAGGTCAACATATTCAAATACTGCAAACACATTTTCACAAATTCTGCAATTCAATTGCGTCCACCGGATCTTTTGTAGAGCCTTTAATGAATTCGCATTTTCTAGATATAAAATTGAAATATTGATATGTCTCTATTTTGTAGATTACAAAAAAAGAAATAAATAAAAAAGATTTACTATTACAATAATTTTTGTCTTGCTTGTTATTTTGGTTCCAATACCGCAAGGTCCGTCCACCTATGTATGTATATCAAACATGTCCCTAGAAAGTGTACTCAAAATTTTAATTTAGGACATGCAGTAAGAACGTCCAGAAACCACGTTGTAGATGTGTGTTTGAGAGCAAACTAGGGGAAACGCATATAAAAAAATGTCCCTTATCACTCTGCAATGACGCCAGAATAATAGAATACAAGATTTACCACGTATGCAGAGTAAAAGAATTTTCTTGGCTAGAAAATAAAGGCACGGCGTTTAACAATTCGTATCAATTTTTTTTCGATCAAATAATTAAACCATACATTTAACTTCAATAGCGGAATGTAGTACAAAACATTTTCTAATGTTTAAGGCTTAATAAAAACTATGCAAACCGNTACCACGTATGCAGAGTAAAAGAATTTTCTTGGCTAGAAAATAAAGGCACAGCGTTTAACAATTCGTATCGATTTTTTTTTTCGATCAAATAATTAAACCATACATTTAACTTTAATAGCGGAATGTAGTACAAAACATTTTCTAATGTTTAAGGATTAATAAAAACTATGCAAACCAGACTTTTTTTTACCTAGCAGTAGCGGTTATTTGAAACCTCATTTTCCGGATGATGTAAATCATCGATAAGTTCCAGCATACGTCGCTTAAACAAACGTTGTTTATAACGTGGAAGCGATAATATATCATCGATGTTGCCACGGAAAAAGGCCAATAACTGCTGCTCATCTCGATCGTCGCATTCGTTACGTTTTGCAGTACAATTGAATGATTCCGAAACTGTTGTACTATTTTCAATTTCGCGTTTTGCATCAATCGTGTACCCAACTAGCGTAGTTGAATGCATGTTTGATTCATCTGTTGTATTATCGGTCGAGAGATGTGGAGATTGGCGATTGATTTTCATTGAGAGGGCTGCATCAGATTGCCTAGTTGTTGTTGTTGTAGCGGATACAACAGATTGCCTAGTCAAGGGTATTGGTGTGCTAGTTGTGAGCTCATTTAATATTTCAATATATTTGCCGCCGACAGTATTTTGTATGACATCAGTGTTGCTGTACTGTTTAGTATCTTCGTGGGCAGTGTGCGTTTGTATAGCGATGTCACCGCAATCTCCGCTAGGCAGATCGTCATAGGATGTTTTCGCTTTGATACCACGAGAAAGCTTTCGTCTCTTTTTCGTTTGTCCTATGGTTTCTGTTGATGGCAAAAGAAACTTCATTTCATCATACAAGTAGAAACGTTTACGACGTGGCGTGGGCAAGTCTTCAGTACTATCATTGTTGTCGGAACACATATTACTATTGTATTGAATGCTTCGTAGGAAACCCGTGCGTACATTGCGCCACTTCTCACGACAAAATACATCTGCAAAATATGGAATATACTTGGACAAATCACATCAATGCATCACATCGAATAATTGCTATGTAGGTGACTACATCAAGTCACTTGACCTACATGCATACATACCTTGTCTGCCTACATCATCGGCAACTTCTTGCCAAGCCCTTTCCAGCTTGTCTCGCTTTGCATATTCAGAGGAATGTACATTCCACAGGCAATCGCGTTGCTTTACAGCATTTATAATTTTTATGATAAGCTCTGTATCCGACATATCTGTTTTAATTTTCTTAATGGACGCGATGCGATCTGACGTTTAATATTATCGTTTCCGAAGTGTAACATCACGATATGCAGCACAGTGTGCAAATTGGTATTTGCGGAGCTAAAAAAGTGCATTCATATATTTTTTTGTTTATACAAATGTATGTACGTAATAGGTATGTATGAATTTAATAAGAGGTAATTAAAATCTTCCAATGTAAATAATAAAAATTCACACCGCTATTCAGGAAAAGTTTGTACAGGCGGAGAGGTCCAAAATTTCCTTTAAATAATATATAGATTTGTTCGTACCGAAAAAGTTTCTGCCCCAGCAAAAAATGGTGTAAGCAGTTGTAAGAAATTAGCAATACGCAAGCGACGCTGCTTGCAACGTTTTTTTACATGATCTATAAGCCTCATAATAAGGTTACTCCGTGTGATGTCTTATTATAAGGGATTATATAAGCCTTACTTTATATGACCTATAAGACTTATAATAGGTTCACATATAAGTAGGTTATCCTCGAGCTTAACTCCCTAATCTGTAATGAGAAAAAGGGATTGGCCATACAAAATTCGTCCCTTATTAATCTGTAATTATAAAATAATCTCTGATTTAACCGATAACTTTTCGGTGTCCAACCTGCTTTTATCGATTATTTTTGCGAATAAGAGGAGAAATGCCAAATGTAAAAGTAAACAAAAATGGACGCTAGCAAGGAAAAGAGGTTTTTAATGGTATTTTTAATAAAATATAAAGTTTAGAACATATTTAAATTGCTTTATATAGCAGAAAAACTTGATCACGGTGGCACAGATAAGAAACATAACGTTTCCTTGAGATGTGAGAATAACAAGCACAAAAATTTGACGGCTAATAATCTGAGGTTTGCCTGTGTAAACGGGGTGATTAAAAAACGGGCTTAGTTTGAGATAATATTTATATGTGAACATACTTTTAGGCGTAAGGGTGTCTCTCAGAGAGAGAGAGAGCAAATCTTATAAACTTACGACCTCAACTCAACATTTGAAAACACTTTTACATGTTTGGCTGTAGCTGAGTGTGCAAAGATGCTTGATACAATTGGTTGCTACCAAGGCTGTCCGGGTTCAATCCATCAGACGGAACATGGACCTAATGTTTTCTTTTATTCTTAATTATGAAAAAAACCAAACGTGTTAATTTTATATGATCTATAAGCCTTATTATAAGGTAATTATACTCCACGTAAGGCCTTATCTTAAGGGCTTATTATAAACCGTATGATCATATAAAATAAGCTTTATATAAGGCGCAAATTTTTTGGAGGGGTTATTCGGTAGGTGAACAGTGCTCATAAATACCTTGCGAACAAATCTTGTGGAACGAAGAGTTTGTTATCAGTAACAGCTGATTTTGACAGCTCTCATTTGTTAAAAATTTAACACATTTGCATAGAATCCACACTGAAGTGATAAACAAAGCTCTTTTAATAAAAAATATGGCTTTAATTTTTAAATATTAGGATACATTTTTTTACCTTTTCTACACAGTATGAAGCATTACAAGTTAAATACGCATCAAAAGTCCTACAGTGGTAAGTTATTTTTGCCTCCGTTTTCAAAGCGGTGTCATAGCATATACATACATACAAATCCATGTACTTATTCCTATTCCAGATGCTGATTTACTGATAAATCAGAAAGAGCATCCTGACACTAAATTGGGCGATGTAGTCGAGGTCTATGACCGAGAAGATGAAAATACTCGGTTGCTCCTACAAATTACGAAATTCAATGATCTTAGGCGCGATGAAATCAGCATTGAAGCAGGCATAGCCACGCAGTTCAATTTAAGGAAGTTTGCGTACGTATTTATGCGTCGCGTCAATGCAAATGATGTAGCGCTTGACTCTATTGAGATAACGTTTAAGGATCAATACATGGGTAGATCTGAAATGTGGCGTTTGAAAACGTATTTGGTAAGTGTACACCGTATGGTCGTATTGTAGGTATATACTCATATACTAAAAATTGGTACATATATACATATGTATATATCTATATACATATTCATATATGTGTGCATATAATTACTTTAATATATATTAAGGGTCATTCAAAATCGGAATAGATTTGAGTATAATGCACCCAAAATACAATCGCGCTTTTTAGGCTAAACTAAAAGTTATTGGTAAAGATATAGACATAGTGGATTCTAAATTTAGTAGCAGCTTTTTGGGCAGATATTACATTGATAATTATGTCAAAATGCTGCAACTAACTTTAGTGTCGTGTTTATTTTGAATAGGAATGTGCCCCATTGTTTCCAAAAATTGCAAATGTTTGACAAACTTAACAAAATTAAAAATCACGACGAATTATCGTCGAGGTTTTCTGAATTCAAGTAGTTATCGGAAACACTCAAATTTATTATGGATCCTGATGTGACTTGAACAACTGAACTCGTTTAAGTTTGATTGGCTGGAAATCGAAGATTTTGAAATGCAGCTGATTGAGTTCCAGTGTAATTCAATATAGACCAAAAACTTAGTCGAATTAAAATGACCATCGGCCAATATGAGCGAAAATGCGAATACTAAAATTTTGGAAACATGGAATTCAATTCCCTGCTGAAGTCTAGAAAAAAGAAGTCTGATGAGGATATCTGGTGATCTCCGCTTTGTAAACAAATAAAGCTTTTAACAATAAAAAAATAATAAAAAACAGGTTGCTAGAAAATGTGTCCTCCTAAAAAATTAAAAAAATGACAACATATTTGCACACTAAGCCAACGATAAATATCGAGCCCTAACCGCCAAAATAACGTAAGGGACATTTTTTTCAAAATTTTATTTTTGATGCAGAAATATTCGTAGAGCATCTAGATGCATTTCTGCATCAAAAATAAAATTTCGAAAAAAATGTCGCTTACGTTATTTTGGCGGTTAGGGCTCGATATATTAATAAGTATATCTTATATCTTAGAAGTACTACTGTAGAAACTGGTTCTTATAAAAAAAGATTATTTTTATTTTACTAGACGAACACTTGCGTTTACATTAATAAGAAAATCGAAAATAACGAAATGCAAATACGTTGCCAAGTTTATGAGATGTGGGCTCAGGGTGAACGTGTATCCTGCGGCGTTATCACAGAGGACACAAAAATTGTGTTTCGTAGCAGCACATCAATGGTATATTTGTTTTTGCAAATGTCATCCGAAATGTGGGATTTCGATATACACGGTGATTTGTATTTCGAAAAAGCAGTTAATGGTTTCCTCACTGAACTTTTTCACAAATGGAAAAAGTTAGGCTGCAACCATGAAGTAACCATGGTATTGTTCTCTCGAACATTCTATGCAGCGAAGTCTCTTGATGAGTTTCCGGAACATATGCGTGACTGTCTTCAGTTGGATTATAAGGGTCGTTTCTATGAAGATTTTTATCGTGTTGCTATCCAAAATGAGCGCAATGAAGATTGGTGTACCGTACTAACGCAGCTACGTAAGCTTTTCACCTCATACGAATCGACAGTATTACGCTATCATGAGCGTGAAGGGGTGTGTATACCTACAGCTAGCAATTCCACAGCGGCTCAAGGCAACTTTTTGGAGGTCTTAAATATTTCCTTGAACACCTTCGAGAAACATTATCTGGATCGTACCTTCGATCGAACTGGTCAGCTGTCGGTAGTGATCACACCTGGCGTTGGAGTATTTGAAGTTGATCGGGAATTGACGAACATAACTAAACAAAGGGTAATAAGTACCTTGTGATGCCTTTTATTTTTTGAAATAAATAGCTAATTGTTCTCTTGTTTGCAGATAATTGATAATGGTGTTGGCAGTGACTTAGTATGCGTAGGCGAGCAACCTTTACATGCCGTTCCACTTTTGAAATTTCATAATAAGGATACTTCATTAACATCAGCAGATGATTATTCACTACCACATTGGATTAATCTGAGTTTTTACTCTACTAATAAAAAAGTGGCTTATTCAAATTTTATACCGCGCATCAAATTGCCCCCAATCGTTGCAAACGTTTCTTTGAATGAGGAAGACAGGGTAAATTTTTTGTTTACTTTAATTCACTAAATAAATATGCTTAATTCCATTCAAGGAAAGTGAAAAGTATTTTTTAAGTTGCAATCAATCGGAGTATATACATAATTCCTTGTTTGACTATGATGCTTATGATGATCAAATATTTCAACCACCGCCAGCGCAAGGCACTTGGTATGTAAATGTAAAACATTCGCACTTATTCTTTTATGCAATGTTTATTTAAAATAGTTCTTTACAACGTGTGATACGAGCCAAAAAGACATCTGTGCCAAGTTTGGAGACGTCTGTATACCGAAATCATGACTGGGAAAATTTAACACCAACAAAAATACCAAATTTACGACGTAAAATGTCCGATCCTGACATATATCATGGCACTTCAGGAATGTTAGCGGCATTGGTAGCTATAAATTAATAGAGTTTTTATAAACTAATAGATAATACAATTATAATTTTCCATCTTTAGACTGATTCGTCAAACTTATCTGAATCATTGGCGTCCGATAAAAATGCGCGTCGTTCTATTGTTTCAATTGCTCCTATTGTTCGTCCTGGACGGGCATTGATCAATCCATTTGATCCATCGCATGTTACAATCAAACTTACATCAAATCGTCGGCGTTGGACGCACATATTTCCAAAGGTGAATTAGTTTTCCAACTTTCTTTGGTATAACTCCAAATAGTTTTTTCATTCACTATATGAAAGTATAAAAGAAAAATGGACCAGCAATAACATTAACACTTTAACGAATAATATTCATATAGTCGTTGAAATGCAAAAAAGCCGTAACTGACTAAAATTTTTTATTGCTTAAATTGATGTGGGGCTTATAATTCGATGAAATACTTCATAATCAATCAAAACGGAAATTTCGGATTTTTACTTAGTTACGGCGGTATTTCAGCGACGATGTGAGATAGGGCCTTTCAATATTAAGGTAACGATATTTTTGTTATTTATCTTCCAAGGGGCCAACGGGTGTTTTAATACAGCAACATCATTACCAAGCGGTCCCTGCTAAACCGCATAACATCAGCTATAGCAATATTATTAATAATGATAGTGAATATGCACTTGGATATAGCACATATGATTATGATCACACATCTACATGTTCTTCGTTGAATAAGTCAATTGCATCCTCTAATGAAGGCGAAAAAATTGAATGTAAGTTTGACAACATTTTGGCTTTATAGCCGAAATGCAAAAAAATACAAAAGTATGTATATTAACTTTTATTTTCAGTATTCAAAAAACGAAATAACTCAATTTTGAATAATAGCCCCGTTAATGTAACAACCGGCGCTGCAGTACCCACAAAAAGTTATCTGTGGGGTGCCACTGGTGAACAGGAGTGGACGCCAGCCATAACGACAGGTATGCTCTTACTAACAATCATTAGCCAATACTTTCAGAGTATTTAAAGGATCATTGTAAGCATTAACACATAATGAAAGTTAATAAATTCTTAAATGATATGTCTTTGAGAAGTTCATAAATACGCATCTTACTTGTGTCAAATGTCTTAAGAAAAATTAAAATATTTCAATATATTTTTCTCTTTATGTAGCTTTTGTCTGTTTACTAAAAACAAATGTGTTTTACTACTCCTTAAATTATGTTGCTTTATCAATACAAATCTATTTAGGACTGTTTTCACATTCCTGTGATTACGCAATGAGTTTCAGCACAGAAACTGAAGGTTAACTCCCGAACGTTAATTAAGTCCGACTGTGAAAACGGCCCTGAATGTTTCATTTTAATTTAAAAAACTGAAAAGCTTAAATAAAAAAATGTTTTTGTGTGCGCTTTCATATAATCATCAGACCGGCCGTCCTAATCTTTAGGGCATGTTTACATAGACGCACAATCATAAATTTACATACATACATACCTATATATACATTTAATATATAGAACAAAGTATCACTACAAATTAAGAAAAAATCAACCTATGGATAGAGCTCATTTTAGAATATGTTTTTCCAAAGATTTACACATTTTTATTGAATACTCAAGCTATTGCATTGAAATTATCCCTTCTGACCTCAAGTCAATAATAATAAATATAGGTGAAAAAGTTCCAAAAGTGTTCTATGGTCCAAATGATCAATGTTTAAGTTATATCACTAACCACAATAACTTTACTTGTATGTATGTCGTAAAGTATTATACAAAGTCTTGAATTAAGGAACAAATCATGTGACTGATATGTATTAGGAACTACTAAATATTCGAGTTTTGGTATACAGCATTAAATGTAGTTTTTTTAAGATAAAATTTGTTCTCAGATTTTGAATCAAAACATGTTATAGTGAACAAATTAAGCCGTTTTCATGTTTCCCTCTCGAATGAGAGTTAAGTCGTCACTTTGAAAACGGACTCAAGAATCTTCAAAGTGCTCTTTACGTTTTTTTTTTTTTTGAATTTTTAATAGGCACCCTATTTCTTAAACGAATTGAATGGAATTAAGCAATTTTAATGATTTATTTAGAAAACAAGATATGTTTTTTTTTTTTTTGTACAGAACGTTTAGTTAGCGATTTCATTGCATACGCGTATGCATCTACTTTTGTATTTTTGGCTGACTAGTAAGGAGGTTTTAGCCAAAGTCTGTTGTCGCTGTCATCATTTATCATGGTAACATTTTGTCTCAAAATCAAAGAAAGACATTTCAATCATTTTGTAGTTGTTCGTGCAACCAAAGGGCAACCGTGCAACATCATACAGTATTATATACAAACATAGCAGTAAACAGAATTTGTATTGCATTTTATTGAAATTATCCATACTAATTGTACTGATTACATTAATACGTAAATTTCTCATGACAATGTTAATACTAATTGTGTTATTTATCTTTTTCATTTTTTTATGTTTTTCATACATTGTGGAAAAATTTTGTGTGAACGTGCAAAAAAAAAAACAAATATATTATCTCCAAAAAAAAAACAAACACCTTATTTAACAATATTTTACCCACCATCTCCAATCAACGTTAAAAAAAAATAATAATTAATACAACCAAAAATTGAGTGCATAACTTTTTCTGGCCTTCAAATTCCCTACTACCAACATATGAATGAAAAGTGAATGCAAAAGCGGGAAAACAATTAAATCCCATAGTTGAAACAGAAGCTCCATTTGATAATGAGTGCGCAAACGCAGATGGCAGAGGAAAAATAATAATAGGTTTGCAATATAGACAAATACATATTACTGCAAATGTTCTCGTAATATTTTAACAAGTTGCACCATTATTTTTAAAAGGCTTAAATTGTACAAAATCGTTAAAAGCAACAAAATGTGCAGCATAATTCAAGCAATTTGGATGTGTGTTCGCGCAAGTGGAATGCTTTTTGCTTTTATTAAAAAAAAAAAAACACACACACACACAAGAAATATGTATGCCGATTAACTAAAGTGTTAAAAATATCAACAAAAGCATGCACCGACTTGCTTGGCTTACACTGTATATTAATATATTATGCTTACAAGTGCACAAAGTAGTATATATTAGCACATATAATAAATATTTGTATGTATGTATGTAATGAGATACTTTTTTAGTAGTCGTAGTATTTTTTACTTTAATTTTCGTAATAGACTTATGCATACATTTTTAAATACATACATACATACATACATGCATATGTGCATATTTATGTATTTAAATTGTAGGATTATTTTGGTTATTTGTGTTGAAGTAGTTTTGGGCCAGTTGCATTTTTCGACTCATATTTAAATGCGCTTTTGTTACTTACAGGTAGTTATTGTTTTTGACAGTAACGGTAACTTGTAGACAGGATACAATTTGTTTGCTTACATTAATCAATTTACAATGGGTTTATTTACCAAATAGACGAATAAGAACACATATTGAATGACAAACAATTTGCACCAATACATCACATGCACAACACATACACACCAACTATTGTATATGTGACCTATTATATGCACTTTTAATGGAAAAGGAATTTCATCAATTTACACAATTCATTTAGTATGGCGTATCCATTACCATATTATTGATATGTATTTTATTGGAAAGATGCCTGCATAAATCACTTGTATATGTATTTCGTTTAATGTCTAGATTAAGTAATCAGTCTCTAGTCATAAAAGTGACTTCACACAATTAGAGAAAAGGGCTCACCAAGATTCCTCTCCCTCTGATTTCGTAATAATTTTTCGGCTTGAGCCGAGACCAAAAAACTTTTAAGATGTCTTTGCGAACAGTTGTTCATCCCGAGCGCATTTTTGTTCCACGCATGCCACTATCCGATTCTTATGAAAAATTGCTCGCTGATTCCGAAAATCTAGTTAATTTTTTCTAATGGATAGGTTTTTTGAGATAATTGCAATTTACTGATATTCAGCTAAAAAAAGGTGGCTCCCCTTATTTACGTATAGTTTACGAACCAATTGAACAATCTTAATACGAAATATGGCAAACAGCGTTGCCGAATTGACGATTTGGACTCAATTTTGACGTTTTTTTTAGCTCAATGTAAAGCTGTAGATCCCTGCATGTGTGACAACATCAAGACGCACACCACAAATTTGGGGAAGAAGCTCGATCAAACACTTATTTATTTACTCAAGTAAAGTGTGGTTAATGTATGTAATGCTGCATATTAATTCGGCATTTAATGGGAAAAAAATTTGAATGACAAAGTTGGGCGTTAAAAAACCCGGTCATTGCACTCATAAAAATAGTCATTAAATTCGTTTCCAAATACTTAGCATTTTTGAAATGGGGAAATTATTTTTCATTTCAATGGCTAGTAAAAATCCGCCATAATGACATTGAAAACATAACTTCTATCCATCAGGCTTCGAACCGTACACAGTCGCTTGGTAGACGAACCCCGAGTAAGGTGAAGTGCATACTTACCTAATATGATCGTTTTCACAATACTACGCATATTTTAAGTGACTAAAGACTGATTACCTAATTCTGGCATAAAGCTGTCGCATGCTGCATTTTTTTGTCAATGCTACTACATTCTGTGCAACTATTTATGTATTTTCTGAACATCTTCTGGTTTATCTATTATAAATTGCATAGATACATAAAATTTGCATTTACAGACATACACAAATGTATCAACACAATAAAAAAAACACCTTTCTACGCCTTTATTTATTTATTTATGTATTTCTTTTATAGTAGGAGATCCGCCAAAGGTGCGACCATCATCCATCTGTTTAATGGATGAAATCTACGTTGTATGAAATTTAACGTGTTAGGAAATATTTCGCGAGTGGGTTGGCTAAAAAAATCCAGGCCAGGATGTTTTTAATTAAATATTCAAAAATTATTATTATTATTATCTTTTAATTTTGCACCATTTAGGTAGACCAGGAAAGAAATAGACTACCCTACGTTTTCGCATTCTATAGGCTTAATACTTTCGATGGTATATAATTTGTTCATTAAACAAATGATTACAGAATTAAAAAAATAATAATAATTTTTGAATATTTAATTAAAAACATCCTGGCAAGGACTCTTTCAGCCAACCCACTCGCAAAATATTTATTAACACGTTCAATTTCATGGATAAAAGATTTCATCCATTAAACAGATGGGTGAAGGTCGTGCCTTTGTCGGATCTTAAAGCATAAACAAACGGTAGCGTTGATCTGGATAAACTCGGGAATTAACTGCAGTTGATCCAGATTAAGTCCGAGTTAATCCGGATCAACGCTGCCGTCTGTTTAAGCTTTTAGACTATAAGTGTACTCACTACGATATCAGATAAACTGACCGCGAACATGGAATGAATACTCGTTTTGCCATAAAATTTTCGTTTTTGTGATATCGAACACCGTCTTCAAAAGAGTCAAAACTCAAAATTTGGCATTTTTGGGATTATGCGCTAAAAATGTACACAGAGCTTTTATTTACCTTTCAGCAAAAGCTGGAGCAAATTTTTGTTATAATCTGTTAAAAAAAGCATAAGTTGAAGTCGCCCTTGCTCATATGATTATCATGTGCTAGTTTTTCTCATTTTCTGACAAACGTATTATTTTGCGTTGTGACTCTTTTGAAGACGGTCTGCGATATCTTCTTAGTGGCTATACAACTAATTGGCGGTTTGAGCCGAGAACCGAACAGCGTTTCTTACATTAAGCTAAAGACGTCGTCTTAAACTACGTGCATACATCCTTACTGCATACATACATATGTATGTCAATATGTCCCCTCCAGTTCTCACGTATCGAAAAGTTCTTTTCAACATCATTCGCATAGCCGTATTAGGTTTTCGGCGATCCCACGCAACATTTTGTGAATTAACTATTACTATACAACTATACAAAACTATATATGTAAATCAAAGTTTCAAACTTTGTACAAAATAAAAAAATATATCAAATTTTCATAAAAATTTAAAACTTTTTAATAAACAAGTAAGAAAGTCTAAGTTCGGGCGGAGCCGAACATTAAATACCCGGCGCAAGTATTAAATATATGTTTTCCACCTTTCCGAAAGCTACCGCTACATGATAAGCCGGGGTGTATACATTTTAAGTAAATTAGCGTCCTTAAATTTCGAAATATTGGTTTTCACAAGTACACTAGCTACAACTACTGTTAGAATTTGCGATATTAGTCGAGTGCTATGGAATGCAATAACGAATCGGACAAAACTGAAAAGTTGCGCTTTGACCAACCTTTGCTGTGTTGACATTAATAGTGGATGATGCTTTTCATTAAATCTAGATGTAACATGCTGAAAACCGAGAACCAAATTAAAATGTAGAAATCAAATTAAATCATATTAAATCAAGAAAACAATAGGGCTGTTCAGGATGTTGTGGAAATGGTTATGGATTTGCAGTTGGAATTGCATTTGCAAATTTGTTGATTGCTGCCATGGCAACCGTATGCATTTTATTGTTGGGAATTTACAAATGCAACGAATATGCAAATCCACGAACATGTGCACCAAGATCCTGAACAGCCCTAATATTTATGTATGGTAATACCAAAGAGACTGTAGCTATAAAAATAATAAACCTGAACGGCCATAGAATTATTTATAAATAAATGTTTAAGATTATTTATATGTATGTATGTACATAAATTAATTGATACAAGAAAATAAATGTTGACATACAATGTCTTCATAAAATTGCAGCGGAAAATCAAAAAGACAAATCATACAATTGCAGATGTTGATACATATTTAAGTACGGCAGCGATAATAATAGCGCATTAGGTGCATAATTATATGTAAATTGGATGAAAGCAAACACCTCAGAAGCGACAAAGAAGCATTCGAATCAAATATTTAAGTGATATTGATATTTAATGCGTTAAGTGCTGTCACAATACTGTTAGACGTAAGTATGTGTGCAAAAAAAAAACCATTAACAACTTAGGTACGTTATGTATGTATGTATTAAAAACAGGCAGTATAAGAACCTTGGTCGTTTCTCCGGTAGACGATTGCTGCCAACACGTTCACGAAAGGGCGAATTCACCAGTCCCTTCAGGTTCGAGAGCGTAGTACGTTAGAAAAAATTACATACATCATTTTAATGCAGCAAAATATCGAAAAATTTCAAAATACATATGTATAGAAATCTTTTTTACTTGAGATGAACTACTAAATTTACTATTCAAACTATTCAAACTGTACTTCGTTATATCTAGTTTCGAATGTTAAATGGTTACAGGGTTTAAGCTTTAATAGTAAAAAAAAAATGGGAATTTTTACAAATGTACAAAATTAAAAGCAAAAAAAAAATGACAATTTCGCTACACAATTCAATGTTTTCAAAATACAAGTTGTATTTAAGAACTGTACATATAAAATTTAGTTTATTGGATAGTCTACGAATTGTACTATATAGAAAAAGTACAGCAGTTGAAAAACAAAATTGCAAGCACGAATGACTTGGGAGTATTTAATATACTATTGTAAACGAAATGTATGCATGAAATTTTGTATGTAGGTATGTTTTTTATATATTTATATATATATATATTTGTATGCAAGGCAGATTGTAAAGATTTAAGTAAAGAACCTGATTGGGTTGAGGTCTGGAAATAATGCTGGTACTGTGACGCCGTCGTGTTAAATGACTTTGTGCGGTGGGGCTATCCTGTAAATGATTCCAACTCGATACATAAGCCGAAAGCAACAACAATTTGGAAAAAATATCAGAAATTATGTAAGTTCGCTTGAAGAAGTCAATAAATTTAATTTATGTATTAAGTGTAGTTGGATAAAACAATATACATATGTATGTATATACATAAACATGTGTAGGTACTTAAGTA